AAAAATATCTTTATATACTTGTAATAGATTATGTAAGTAACTTGTTATCCAAGTATTAATTCTTGCTGTACAATTATTTTTATAATTTCTTCTTTGTCTAGAAAATATACTTCTATTTCATCCTTTCCAGTTGATCCAAATTTTTGAGTTTTATAAGATAATTCTTCTAATTCTTTTTTAGTATCTACAGATATCATTTCTTCAATTAGAACAAGTTATAAAAAGACTACTTAGATAATTCATTCATTAGGTTAGATTTCATAAAATTTATTAGAATTATTATGTAAAAGAACTCTAATATTTCTAGTATATCCAGCATAAAGATGGCTTCTTAACTGTTGCAACATAATGACAAATAAAGTATCATTTAGTTGCAACTAGTTGCAACTTATAAAATTTTAGAGTTGTAACGTATTACAACAGATGATAAATAAGTGTCACATACTTACTGTGCTATTTTTAATCTAGCATTAATAATTTCTTCTTTAACTTTAATTCCTTTCTTGGCTAGTAATTATTAAGATCTTACAAAAATTTCAATTGTCAAATAAAGATCAATCATAATTATTTGATAAGATTAAATCAGAATTATTTCTTTTCTAGAGTATCTAATATTAAAGCCTGCATTATATTCATAAGCTCATTTAGATATTTTTTCTTTATCATTATTATTATAAATTTTAATCAAGAAATTTGCTAATTGTTCTTCAAGTTATTTTTCTTCTTCATCTTTATAATCTTTAAATACTGTATAATATTTGTTAAGGATTTCTTTAATTAAATTATAATTATTATCTTCAGCTTTCTCTTCTTTTTCTGATTCTGGATATTTTTCTTCTAGTGGTTCTTCAATCTGTTCAGATCATATATAATCTTTACAAGTGTCTGAATTACAAGAAATTAAATATTTAATATAAAGTTTTATATTTATGTATTCTAATTGAGCAAGTTATTTTCTTTGGAAGAGAGATAATTATTGATAGATAGCCAAAAAGATTTCTTGAGCTGATGCTTTTTCAGAATCATTATAGATAATATATTATATCTCTTCTTCTTTATCATACTTAGTGATATATTAGATAAGTATTACTTTTCCAATTTCATTATATTATTGGTAAATTTTCAATAGGTTACTATCACTTCATAATTTTCTGATAGAACTATTATTTTTTCATCAATTATCATAATTAAATATATATATGTATTGCTTAGTATAGTTACAAAAATACTTTGCTTCATTATATTTTCAGATTACTTTAAGAAAGTATCTAGCTTCATCTCAAAGTTTATAGTAATCACAGACAAATAAGTTGAGTTATTATTGGATGAAGCAATCAGAATAGTATTGCTTTTCAGATTTATTTTTATCTCTTGTTTCTGAAATAATTTCATTATTCACAAAGTATTTACAATATAAATATTTAACTATTCTTTCTTCTAGCTTCAATTTTCATAGGGCTTTACTTTTTGAAAAGAATCTTTCTTCAGTAATTGGTATCTTTTTTGATTCTTGGATATGTTCTACTTCTAATCACCAGTTTTTAGTTTCATTTTGAAGTAAAATTATTAATAGATTATTTAAGATATTCATCTTGATATTGATCCAGATAACTAGATTATCAAAATATTGAGAGTATTTATATTTGAAAGTTGGTAATTTGTGATGACATCAATATTCAGTTACAGATCCTCTCTAATTAAAAGTCTATTAAGAACTTTGATAATGAATTTATTGAAATTTTCTTTCCAATTTTGAGTATTCTTTCCAAGTAAGAGTTGTATTCTTGACTTGAATTTCTTCTTTAAAGATTTTAATATTTCTAACTTTAAGAATTGTGTTTATAGTTATATAAGAAACTTTTTCAAAGTCTATATTATTAAATTATTTGAATGAAATATGAATCTGAATCCAGAGTCTATCAGATATCTATCATAAAAAATTATGATTTTCTAGATTTTGATCTTTAATTTTAAATTCATCTTTAGAAATTTTACTAGAGGATATTTTTATATTATTATCACTATTTTTAGATATAGCATTTTATTATTCATAAATGAATTTAATTGATACTCTTGCTTCTTTTCCATTCTAATCAAAAGTCATTATATTTTTCTTTAGATCAATTTTAGTATTGATCTTGTTTAATCAGTCTATACCTACTACAAGACTATAGATTTGAGTTTTAGTAATATTCACTTCTGCTAGAATTATAATTCTATTAATAGTGATAGAAAAGTTATCAATTACTTCTAATAGTTATTTGAAATATCTATTAATATCAGACATAGAGATATTTGATTTTCATTAAATCTTTATTCCTAATCATTAAGAAATTCATGACTGATAATATATCCAGATACTTTAGTATCTACAATTAAATCTATAGGAGTCTTTTCAACTTTGGCTTCATACCAGGCTAAAATAGTTTTGATTTTCTGAGTGAATATTATTTTTCATTTAAGCTTCTTTTGTAATTCTTTTCTCATTTCTTTTAATATTTGAATTTTTTGTTCTGGTAAAGTCTCGATAAGTTATACAATAGTAATATTGGCTTTTTGAAATGTCAAATTTTTGAGTATATTATAAGTCTTTGCTTTCTTTACTAAAACTGAAAGATATGCTCTTTTTTTCTTTTATTCTTTCTTTTCCAGATTGGTTTTGTCTTCTTCTGATACTTTTGATAAGAGTTAGGTAACTTCATTTTCTTTTTCACTTTTTTCTTCTTCTTTGATAACTCTAGCTTATTTTCTTTCTCCAGCTAAATAATCATAAGTTACTAGTAATAAGAAACTAGATTGGATAGATGAATTACTAGATGAATCATTATCAAATACTTATAAAGCAGCTATTAAATTCTGAATTTGAATGAAAGAGAAGCAGTATTCAGATTTTATAAATTATTAGATTGCTGATTATTATTTTGAGTATTCTGATTTTGCTAATTATTATTATATTATTATTATTTTGATTTTGATTATTCCAGTTTTATGAAAAACTTTGATTATTTGATTATTAATTTATAGACTGGAGATTATTTGAGCACACTCTACAGACATGTTCTTTTTCTTTACAACTGTAACAAATAATGATAGATCTGTCTCTTGGCTGATTTTGTTGCTAATTGCTATTATTATTCTGATTATTGTATCTTTTACCAGATTTTACATATCTAATCTATTGGTCAGATCTTGCAAAATCTTAGCTAGAGTACTCTATTTATCAGTTAGTTGAGCTTGGATCTGATGCTAGATTTGTTTGAGTAGGTCTGAATCAGCTTCTTCTATATTTTTGGCAGTTTCAATAATACTTTTCATGATATCTTCAGCATTCAAGTTAACTTATTTTTGAATTTCTGGTTTGAGATCTTTCTTGAAAATTTGAATCTTGTATTCTTCTGGATAGATCTATTCTGAATCTACTTTACTTTCAAGTTCTATAAACTGATTGACATATTCTTCTATAGTTCTAGTTTGCTTTAGAGATTCTAATTTATCTTGCCACTGTTATATCTTATGAGATGAATGAAATTTAAGAATAAATTGATAAGAGAAATCATGTTCATCATGATTTTCAGTTGTCCATTATTTAATCTGAGGGTGTCATTTATAGATTATTGATCAAATCAGATAGTAGCTGGTCCCTTTAAATATTCACTTACTATCTCAATTTTCCTATCATTGGTAATTTCATTGGCTTTAGTGGCTAGATAATAATCTTAAAAGTCTGAAGTCTTGTCATGATAAAAAAAGTTATTTGGTATGGGATATGGGATATTAAATATCTCTAAGATCATTTGTTTGCAATATAAAAAAAAGAAAAAAAGTGAATTCAAAAATCATTATACTATTTTTTTTTCTCCAAAAAAATTGACTTAGATAAAAAATTAGCATTATTTTTCAATTGTCAGCATCTAAAAATCATATTATCTATTAGTGTAATTCTGATAAAGATGAATAAATATTTATACGAAGTTCAAGTATACATCCTGCAGTTCAGTAGATTTATTGTTTCCTGGTGTTTAGTTAAAGAATTGAGCTGTAAATATGTTAAACATGGATTCCGATATAAGTTTATAAAATTATAGATAGATCTATTTGTAAATATAATATATTTAGTTAAATAAAGAAACTGATAGATTACAAATAAAATGTTTTGTTTTTATATGTGCATATTAGTTAAATTATTAAAACTCAAATCAATTATAAAAAACCAAGCTAATATTTATTGGTGTTTTCGAATAACATACATAGACCATGATGGAAATCTATGAGATGGAAGATGATTCTGAATATTATCATGGTGATTATTTTAATTTTGAAATTGAAGAAAATTCAGAAACTTCTTAAGCAACCTTTTACTTATCTGTGATTATGGGATTTAACATTCAAATGACATATTATTTTACTATCATGACTTCAGAAAAAGAAAAAGGTGTTAAAATATAACCATGAACAAAAAGTTAAAATATAAATAAAACTTTAATATGCTAATAGTTATTACAAATTTATTTTAACCAAGGACCAGAAAAAAAATAATACAAGCGTAAAAGACCATCATTTACTCATAAATATTTTGAAAAAAAAAGGGTGAAGAGATTTGAATTTGCAAAATCGTAAATGAAAATGGTCAAAAATGTGGCAAAGAATACAAGAATATCGGAAGTTCAATGGAAAGTCTCATTATACACCTTAGAGACAGTCATAAACTCGTTTCACGGGATGGAGTGAAAGTTGTAAAAAGTATATAAAATATAAAAATAACCAAAGGTTTATAAATTTCATTAAAGTTTTCCTTTTTTCTCTTTCTTTTTTTAGCTATGAGATTTCAAAATTACAGATTTTGTATTAAAGTTCTACCTCCATGTTCAAAAAAAGTAATTCTTAAGTGGATGTTACTTTACAAGCCAGGTTCTTTCTACAGTTACCATTGATATGTACAAGGAAAAAATGGTTGAATTCAATTTTTCTTTTATTATGTCAAGAAAAAGAAGATCAAAACTATGTTTGTTAAAAGTTATAAACATAATCAAGAAAATTTACAAAATCTTACTCAAACAGCAGAAAATGTTTCTTTTATAATAGATTTCTGGTCTAGTAGAGCTAAATACGAATACCTTAGAATCACTACAACCCGGGTTACAGCAAATTTCGAAATTAAAGATGTCATGTTAGAAAATAAATACATTCCTTCCTCACACGCCAGTAGAGTCATCACTGATGAAGTTTATAAGTATATTGAAGCTTGGAATCTTAAATACTATATAATATCAATTAGTACCAATAATGAATCAAATATGGTCGTAACTTTCCTCTTATTAAACCAAAAAGATGAATATGACAAGATCAAACATCTTCTATATACAGCTCATACTTTTCAATTGGTGATTGGAAAGGGACTCACACCAGCTGAAATCCTAGTAGTACTAAATTAAAAAGTATTCTTTTGGATGACGAATAGGAGCTACTAGACAAACTCGTTGACTTACTAATGCTATTTGAGAAGGCAATATAAGAGTTCTCAGGAAGTATATATGTAATATTAAGTAAGATTATTCCAACGATTAAAGAAATGATTTCTAACTTAGCAAGTGAAGCATCATTGAATAATAATCTTTGTTTGGATAAGGATACTGTGTTTAAGTTGGAAGATGAAAAATGCAACCTATGGACTTTGATAATAATGAAATTATCAGTAATATTACTAAAAAAAAGTATCTCAATTAAAAACCCATTAAACACATAGGCATTTTGGATAAAATTAAACAAAATATATATAATGTACTCATATACTATTGGAATGATCCAAATAATCTTGGTTTAATAATGATCTTGCTAGATCCGCATTACAAAAGTTTAGATTTCCTCGGTAATGATTTTGAAAAACAACATACTATTTAAAAGCTTCGTGATGAATTTAGTAAAATAGAAGAACCAGCATCTAAACTTTTAATTAATCCAACAGCATCTTACACAGAATCTTTGATACCTTTACATAAAAATATCTTCAACAATGTCAAATGAAAAGAAAAAAAAAGATGAGTTATTACTGAATTCACAAATCCTCAATGTAATTTCAAATTATCTGTCATTACCATTAGTATCGAAAACAGAGGCTCCTTTGAAATGTGGAAAATGCACTTGCAAAATTTTCCAAAACTTACTAAAATTGCTCAAAAGTATCTTGTAATATCAGCAACGTCAGTATTAAGTGAAAGATTATTTTTAGATGCCGGAAATCTTATTAACCCTAAAAGAATAAATTTAGATCCAAGTTTAGTGGGTCAAATACTATTTCTAAAAAGAAATCTAGGTAAAATGTGTGTTTTGCGCCGGAATGGAATGAAAACAAAATGGATCATGGTAAGAATGATTGAAAGCTTATTCAAAGTTTGATAATCTATAAAAAAAAGATCTAGTAGTATATCGTTAATACTGCTGTAAAGAATATTTCTAAACACGTAAATCAAAGTCAAGTAAAACTTAATATTTGAAAATGGTTTTTTGTCACTGCAAGAAGAGTTCACTTTTGCGCTGTGTTAATTGAGCGGTCAAGGCTTTATCATTAAAAATAGCATCGTATTGAAAATCGGGTCATATATTGTAATACTTGGGATGTTATATTTAAAAACTGGTTAATTAATAGCATCCCTATATAACACATACGTGCGCGCGTTGCATATTAGATGTATCTCGCAAAAGACAATCATGTTCACGCGAATTGCATCATATGGCCCATATCTCGCACGAAGTAAATTTTTAACTAAGAAATCCTAGTGGTTAGTTATTTATCAAATATAAAAAAGAAAAATCTATAATCCGCTAAACTTAAAATTTGGCCTTGGATGAGATTATCTCGTACGAAGTCATATAATTTGTGCTAGTTTTGTCTCGCGCGAGGTATATCTCTAGTATACCTGATCCGAATTCATTAATCTAATCCGAATTTACTCAAACTCGAATTATAATCCGAATGCAATTTAGAAGATCGATTTCAATTCGGATTGCTTCAAAAGAATAGGATCGAAACACTAGTTTTGTGTGTGTCTGTGTTTATGTCCAATTGCTTGTTATTTATCCACAGATGATGTCTTTATCAATAATAATTAAAGAAAGTTTTTCTGTATTTACATTTGGGACAACGGTTGGTTGGTGTTATTATGTATTGTATGTTTAAATTTCGCCATTTTGTTTTATCAAATTTATAAACAATAACAATGATTGATTTATTCATTTATTTTATATATAGAGATATATATTATATGAATAAAATAAATAGCAATTACATTTGGTTCGCTATTATGTATTAATCAGTTAAATAAATATATGCGTAAACACAAAGGAATCGAAACCACTTTTTGCAAAATCGACTATAGTTAATACTAAAGATGGCTCCTCAACTAGTTGCGGCTTGCGGCAGCCAATCAGAGAGTTGCGACAGAGTTGCGGCAGCCAATCAGAGAATTGCGACAGAGTTGCGGCTAGTTGCGGCTCCCATCACTAGTTAATACATATCTTCGATTTCATTTAGTATATTAATATCAAAATCTGTTTTTATCATCAAAGAAAAATGGGTCTATCCAACTTCCCGACAATCCAATCCAACTTCTCGACAACCTAACATCCCGATAAATATAATTTCCCAAAATCTAAATCGTAAATACTTTATTTGCACCCACTCACCTAATATAATTAAAGACTCTAAAGCATGCGCGTGCTTCGTTTAGTCGGGAAGCTATTCGTTTGGAATTTCGTTCGATTGGATATGTTGGAATTGTGTTTGTCGGAATAAATCTGATGTGTAACGAAAGAAGTAGGCAACTATAAACTTACACTTCTCCCAAATCTAAAAGGTCGACCTTAGCTTGCGTCGAATATTTGATCATAACCTTACATAAATGTTTCAGAATAATCTCGATGATATTCTCGCAAGGAGCGTGATCAAGATACATTCACTTAGCGAATGTGAGCATCCACTCAACTATATAGTTAAGACTCTAAAACATGTAATCGTCCTATGCTAAAGGTTAGCAGATAGTCTTAATGATATTTAAGGAATTTTTGGTGAAAACTAAATGAAGTAATAATGATTCAGGTATAAAATAAATTCGTTTCGAGTTTGGTAACAAAATGATAGGTGCAATCGGGCGCGCAAAATCGTGAGCAAGGAGTGAGTGTGCAAACGAATGCACAATCAAATGGACAGAAGTACAACCAAGAATGGCTAATGAAAAGTCAACTTACTCTCGCTCGCCCACTTTCTTTGATTCAATCGCCCACTCAGTCTTGTCCAGCTTCGCCCTTGCCTACACTTTTTTGCTTTCTCTTGCCCCTTGGCAAGAAAATGAGTAAAGAGAGAAGAAAGTGAGACGAATGAAACCTTTATAAATAAATCAATCATATGTTTGTGGGAATATATGTCGTGAAATAAAAAAGACGCATTTGTTTATTATGCGATGCTTAAATAGGGGTTAATAATTTTTCGAGACCCATGTTTGATGGGGTACAAGGCCTGGTTGCAGTATTAATATTATATTGACATGAGTAACATGTTGTGAATTTTTAGTATGGTTTTGCGATTTCTGATTATGTAGATCATTTGGCCAAAATTATCCATAATTTCTTATGATTAAATAGTGATTTTTTAAAAATAGTGATAATTTGTGAAATATAAAATACAGTTTAATTTTGCAATAATATTTATATAGCTGAATACTATATAAAATTACTGGTAGAATACTTTTATGTAATATATTATAATTAATTAGTAAGATAATCCAGGCGAAGTTTGAATAAAAATTTCAATCATGTGATGATTCTAAGTTCCAATGAAAAAAACAGTAATTTGCTCAGAACAAAGCTGCGAAGTTTGCTTTTGTGATTCAACTCATATTTTTAAAGATGTAAACATTGCTTCGAACAAACTTGATATTATTAGGATATAAAAATTAACTAATCGGTTAATAGATGTGTCTAAATCAATCCCATTTAAGTTGGCACTGATAACAATCACCACTGACTGCTTTAGCAATTTTTAACTTTTGTATGTGTTATTATTTTTTTAAAGCAAAGAGATAATAATACTTTATACTGGTGCAATTTTATTTTATTCTTGCCTATTAGTTTATCTGTTTTTTATTATTTTAAAGCACTAAAGACATCTATTCTTTAAAGAACCTATTTATAATTAATTTATAAGATCGATAAATTACATACTTTAGAATTGCTACGACGCTAAGTAACGTTGTCATTATTTGTTAGTGTTCTGTATATTACCCCTCCCCTGAACTTTAATTTAATCAATAGAATTAAATTTAATAATTTTAGCTACTAATTTATTAGCCTTGAGGTTAAATTAAAGTTTAAATTTTTAAATGTTTTACGGAGAGGGATACTATACAGGGCGCTTTACGCAGTGCGCCGCAAAAATTAATCAAAATTTCTCTAAATTTTCTAATTTATTTGAATACAGTCGTCCAGCCCAAAAATTATGATTTAGATTTCAAGCAATTAAAACAGAATGTATTTAAGCAGCACGAATAATATTAAGAAATTGCATATTACAAATAAAATTAAAAAGTTTATTATCTACTTTATATGAAAGATGTCTCAAAAATTCATTTATATCCTATTCATTTCTCTCTTTGCGTTTATTTCTCAAATTGCCATCGTCAAATCTCACGTGACTACAGAATCCGACTCTCTTCTAGAAACTTTAAATTATTTTAATTCTGAGAAAACAGAGTATCCTGTACATAATTATTTATCATCTTCGTCAACATTTTTTGAAATTGATATAGAACCAGAATTAGAATCGAACCAAATAATACAACAACAGTCTCTATTGTCTCCTTTAAATCAACAATACACGCAACAGGATGACGGTGATGAAGAAAGAATACGTAAACGTCAATTACTTCTTGAGAGACGTCGTAGATTACGTGAAAGACGTCGTAGGTTACGTGAAAGACGTCGTAGGTTACGTGAAAGGCGTCGTAGGTTACGCGAAAGAAATCAAGGGCAAACTGAAGTTGAAATGGAATTAAATTATGCGCATATGTAATGATTGAAGGATTTTAACCGACCTTCTCGTTTTTCAATTGTCTTGTCATATAATTCAGTGCGAGTAATGCCATTTTCTATTTTGTTAATTATCATCTGAAATTAAGATGTAATTTTAATGAGTATCGCTTGCCAACACAATCACACTCGCTTGCTTTATCGAATAACAGATAGGAATGCTATTTTCACAGCCATTTGATTAAAATAAAATCCCCAATTACATGTACTTGCTTTATCATCATTTTTTTACTTTATAAATTTAAAAATAATTACTGCATATGTAGATAGCTTGAAAATTGCCATTTTTATATATAAAGGTGGGAAATATTTTTTTGTTTTACAATCAAACGGTCTTTGCATTTTAAATAGTCACCAAGATATAAAATTCAGTGAATCTGTATACTATATAAAATTGCAATTTCTTAAAACGATAACGATTTATCTATAAAAGATACAGTATGTGTTAATAATAAGAATTGTTCTTTTTTGTAATTACATGAACCTTTTGTTTCTTAAACACGCAAAATGAATTATGACGACCAATATACATATGCAGCTTCATTATGCGTATAAAGAAGAAATCTTGTGCATTCGATATAAACGTCTGACGATGCCATCACGCTTTTTGAATTATTATTCATGGAAATGTGGTGAAGTAATTTGAAAATTCGAAAGATGGAGAAAATATTGACATCAATTATGAGGTTAATGAGATAGTACGAATATTAATGATGTTAAAGTTTCCAAATAACAACAACGACGACGATATAAGTTGTAAAAATTCACTTAAAACAATAGCAAGTTTATAGCATTTGGAAAAAACTCGCATGGATGACTTAATAACAAAGGTTTTTAAATCAGATTTAATTTTCTCTTCCATTTCCACCTCTACTCCAATTAAATTAACACGAAATAAGATTCTTTGAACATTGAATTAGGAACTCCTCTTCTAATGATGATGTGGAAAATGCAAGCCTTATCAAACAGTGACAAGAAGATGGGATGAAGATAACAGGTAACGCAGTATTCATATTTAACTTTCAAAGAATAAAGGAATAATTCACAAAAGAAAACAGTAAAACAGCAGAAGAAATCTAGACTTGAAGTCAGGATAGCGGCGAGTGTTCACAAAGTAGTGCTTCAATTGGGGAAACTGTAGGGTTGGTTGGTACTTGTATTGCGAAGCGAGATCAAGTGTATTATAATTAACATAATTTATGTTTATTTATTTATATCAAAGAATTTTTATACTTCGAAAAATATGGCGCGTTATACATTTTCCGAACCTATATAAGTTTTGCTTATTATTCTATAGTAGATAAATAATAAGACTAGAATATTCGTAATTTCCAAATACCAAGTGAGCTCTACCTTAGTGCTCGTGAGGTGTGGTAGCAAGAATCTGTACATAAAACTACTTGTATAACTAGGTCATAACCGTCTCCAATACATGATCTATGATCAGCCAATTAAAGAAGGCGGACGTTGTTTTAATATTTTAATAAGTTGAATGAAAAGCGGTGAAGCTGTAAAGAATCTGCATCAATTAATTTGCAAAATGCAATAGAAATTACAATAAACAAAAGCCTAGCAGGCTATGATCGAATAAATAAAGTTATTAGAAGCATAAAAAGTGAAAAAGCAGACCGTAGAGCATTTAGAAAAAGGATTAAAAAATAAGGATGGGACATTTTCACAGCGTAAATATAATGCAATTATATAAGCAGAAGAAAAAAGAAGCAACATGATCAAATTATTAAAAAAAACCATGGTAAAATCATTAAACAAATTAATCACATTATATTCAGATCATCATAATCATCTGAATACATGTAATTTTATAGCAGTTTGAATCTATTTAAAATACTTGTTTGTATTAGAAACAAAAAAAGCAACTTGCTTTCATTTTAGAAAATGTTTATTTTTACCTCGTTTATAAATCTCTAACGTAGTTTGATTTGAATTGTGGAATAATTTCAACGCATTCGTTATTTCGTGTAAATTTATTTTCTTCATGATCCCACTCGTATCTATACCACCACGTTGCTTTATAAATTGTTCCAAATCCTCCTTTTACAAGATATTCGAGCATTTCAAATGGGATCCCTTCAAAATGTTTAGTTTGCACGCATTCTTTTATCAGACTATTGATTTCATTGTTTACGTTAGACCATTGTGTTTTATAAATTTGTTTGCGATAAATTAAACATTCATATCACTACTTTTTTGCTTGGCGGAGAGCACATATGTTACAATTATGAGTCTTTGTATTCTAGGTACTCGAGTTCACATAAAGATCAATTAAAATATTTTGTGTTCATATACGTTTATTAAAACTTAAAACGATTGTATTAAAAATCATTTAGTCATGGACTTCTATTTATATGTGCTAGCCAGTTTCTGGTTTATCTTAAAAGAAAAACTTATGAAATTTAATGAAGAATTTATATGTTCAGTTTATTGTACAAATCAATCATGCATGTACATGTAAAAGAACATTAAAATACATTCCATAATAGAAATGTTCTATAAAATATAAGGTATTCTTTGTTCTTATAAAGTTTCGGAAATTTCGAATAATTTCTAGTTCATAATAGGCAACTGCAATGCTTTACATTTGATACAGTCGCTAAAAGATCGAACTTAGCAATTTATGACATTTAGAATGTTTGTTTTATCATTTTATGTACAGTGGCCTATCAAAAGTCACCGGACATCATGTGATCCCCAGTCATTTTACAAATAATACTGTTTATTTGGATTAGATTTTCTCCACAATGACTTTGTTGATTTTATTATTCTTTTTTTTCCTTGAATTTACTTTACTTTGACTTTACAACACGTTAAATTATTCTTCTAAAAGTTTCAAATTAATGAATAAAATTACCAAACGAAAAGAGCTCTCTATTTTTGAGTGTGGAGAAATTGTTGGTGCTTGGAAGTGTGAAATCAGTGTACAAAAATTGCTGAAATATTAAATCAGTCAAAAAGTACTGTACAGGACGTTATTTCTGTTTACCAAAGTTCTAATTGTGAAAAACCCTCTCCCCAAAGTGGCAGATCACGTATAATAACAGAAAGAGATAGTTGTCATTTACAAAGAATTCTTAAAGAAAATTGATACACAAATCTTCAAGAATTACATGAAAAATTTGTTATCTCTATCTCAACTAATGTAAATACAATTATCATTCAACATTACTTATATAAACAAGGTTTCTTTGGTCAGATTGGAACCAGAAAACTGCTTGTAAATGAAGTTAATCAGCAAAAGAGACTTCTCTGGATTTGGAAATGGCAAACATGGGAAAAAGAATGGGAAACTATTATTTGGAGTGATGAATCTAGGTTTGAATTATTCAGAGAAGATGATAAGAAGTATATTTGGAGACAATCTCATGAAAAATATGATGTTGGATGTCTTATTCCAATATTTAAATCAGATCAAAAAGGAGTAATATGTGGAGTTGTTTCACAAAAATAATCTTGATCTGTTAGTTAGATTGAAGAGGAGACCGATAGCCAATATGTATATAAATATGCTAAAAAATTATTTATTACCATTTCTAGATACTCTAGATAATAAGGAGAATTATATTTTTCAGAAAGATAATGCACCTGTCCATATAGCAAGCAAAACTAAAAAATGGAAGATAGAAAATAATATAAGTAGTATTCCACGACCCACCCAGAGCCCTGACTTGAATCTCATAGAATATTTATGGGATGAATTAGAAAGATGAGTTTGAATATATGAACTATTATCCAAAAATTGTGAAGAATTATGACAAATACTCCAGAATAAGTAGCTGCAAATTAATGAAAGTAAATACAAAAATCTTATTGATAGCATCAGGAAATTTTTTGGGATGATTTGTATTGATTTTTATCATTAGTTATATATTGATATATATCAGAATTATCAATATATATTGAAGTTGTTAATATATATTATTTAATAAAGTATATCATTAAATATTATTATTTTATGATGTATATTGTTAAATATTATTGTTTAATAAAATATATTATTAAATATCATTATTTAATGAAGTATATCATTAAATATCATTGTTTAACAGTAAATATTATTAAATATTATTATTTTATAATATATATTATTAAATATTATTGTTTTGTAATGTATATTATTAAATATTATTATTTAACAGTAAATATTATTAAATATTATTAAATATCATTATTTAATAATATAGATCATTAAATATTATTGTTTATCATTAAATATCATTGTTTAATAGTATAAATTTATTTAATATCATTATTTAATGATATAGATTATTAAATATCATTATTTAATGGTATAAATTTATTAAATCAACTTATTTCATTAAATATCATTATTTAATGATTTTTATTATTAAATTCAGAATTCTTTATT